GCCGAGCAGCTTGCGCGCCCTGCGCTGCGCACCCCGGGCGAGCGCTGCATCATTTATGAGTTCTCTTTGAGAAAGACTGTCTAACAAGTTCCACTCCCACCAACGGCAGTGTGAGCCGCACATCCTTCCCCAGCGGCCTGTGCCTTCTCTGGGGGCTCCAGCCAAGCCCTTGTTAGAGCCAAGATGAAGCTACCTCGCTGCCCCCTCTACCCCCGCCCCATCGCACTTGCCCTTGGATAAGGAGAAGCGATCAGGCGGGCAGGAGGCAGCCCTCGCCCTCCCCAGGCTGAGTAATCCTGCCTCTCTCAGATCTCCTGATAGACTGCCAACCCGTGTTTCTATACATTCTGATAATTTCCCAAATTAAGCTGGCAAATAATTAATTTTATGAGTTATTCTTTTCTCCTTTCCTATGCAGGCATTTTAATTATTTCCCTTTTCAGTCTGAAGGACCTACTCAGCCTCCAGGTCTTCCCCACACTCAGTGCCAGCAGCTGTGGGACACTCACGGCCTAAGTGGGCTCCCAGGCAAGGAGCCTGGGCAAGGAGCCTGCTCAGCTGCTGCCCAAGCTGGGTGGAGGTCGTGGCCTGCGGGCTGTGGATGTGAAGTCTGCTGATTCCAGCAGGGATGATTAGGAAGTACCCGGAGGCGCTCCTGGGAGGCAGCCCTGAGGCAGCGGACTGTGCCATTTCAAACCTAGAAACCTTGCAACTCCTCAGCTACTGTCACCTTGGAGAGGAGGAAACTGCTAGCTGCCCCTCCAATAGCCTCCCCTTTTCCTGCCTGAACAATGGATGGAAAACCATGCAGCTGAGAAATCCACATTTCTGGCTTTTCCTGCAGAGAATTCCATGAATAGGAAGCAGAAGTCAGTGACACATGGAATTCTAAGAAAAATACTAAAAGATCTTTAAAGGAATACTTGGCCACAAGACACACCCATGTTATGTTTTCCTCCAACTTGCCTTCTAGAATGTTGATGTGATAGCAGGCATTACAGTAGATAGCTTATCACCATGAGGCAAATACCAAAGATAGCAAAGCAAAAAGACAGAAAATCCTGATTCTCTGATGATCCCAGAGTGGCCCTACAACCCACATTCCCACCCACTGCCTGCTCTTCTGATGTGAGAAAAAAGAAAAATCACATCTTCATTTTGTTTAAGCTACTGTCATTGGGGTCTGTTTCTAGCAGCTGGATCCCATATCTAACTAATACAGACAGCTACAAACTTGATCCCTTGCTGGTTCCACCCCAGGGATCCCAATAAGCCCCTCTTTAGGGGTGGCTCTCAAGTCTATGGTCTGTTCTGAGGGTTTTGATTGGGGAATTGTACTCCTCCTCTGGAGGAATGAGGAGCGACCTCAGTGAAGCTGGTTCCTTGACTGGTTCTTGCCCTTATTCCTCAAGCTCTAGTATACCTTCCTCCAGGACTAGCCTGCAGGAACCGAAGCAGAGGCTGTCAGCATCTTCTCGACCCTGATGGCAGAGCCCCTCCCACAGCTCTGAGCATTTAGTTGGTGCCCACATTAATTCTCAAATGGCTATTTTACTATTAGCAGAAAGACTGACCCCGAATATCTTTCTGTACTGTAGCTACTGAGGAAACTTTCAAACACCAGGTGGATGGATGCCCAGTAGGAAAGCAAACACACCCCAGCAGACGGGTCTGTAAAGCCCCAGTTCTCAGAGCCTTTGCACACATGTATTGTGTCCTTTTCTAGTCATACCTGCTTTCAAGGCAGCCAGGGCAGATATCAAGGGCCCAATTTTACAGATGAGGCCCCTGAGGCCCAGAGAGGCTTGGTACACTTCCTAAAGAAATAGGATAGAAAGCAGGAGGCCCAGAGAGGCTCTTATCGGGGTCTCATCTTCAGAGTGTGTGTGTGTGTGTGTGTGTGTGTGTGTGTGTGAGAGAGAGAGAGAGAGAGAGAGAGAGAGAGAGAGAGAGAGACCATATCCCAGCACTCCAGTCTGCCCCTTTGCTGCTCTAAAGCACTGTGGTCCTTCCTGTTGTCTTTTCTTCCTGCTGTGTCACCTAGTCTGACTGTTTTTATCTTGCTCACTGGGCAGGTGTGACTGTGCCTCCAAGGCACCCAGAGCTGAGGGCTGGTTGTGCTTTCCCAGCCAAGTGTTATAGCCTGGCTTATAGCCAGTGCCACAGCCAAATCCAAGGCACAGCATCCTCATGCTATTATTATTAAGTGTCACCACCTCAATCTGCCCTGGGGCTCCACACATTCCTTGAACAAACAGGTCTGGTGGGCAGGTGCTTCCTGGAGATGTCTCTGAGGCTGTTGTAGTCTGATAATTTTCACCAGTGGCCCATGAAAGGGTTTAAGGTTGGGGTCAGGGTCTGGAAAAAGAACATGAAATGACCAATGGAATCCCAGCAAGCTCTGAGGATATTCCCTAGGGGGCATTAACAGTCCCAGAGAGCACACAGGAAGTCTGAAACATGCAGAGGAAAAGCTGCATCCTCAAAGGGAAGGCAGACAGAACTGTGTTCCTGAAGCCCATGAGGAGGAAGTCTTCACACAGGGCTGGGGGTCAGGACAGCCATCATGAGCATATGAGGAAGGTCCATGTATGGATGAGGAAGTCCACGTGTACATGAGAAAGTCCTCCAGAGCATCGAAACAGAGCTGCCCCATGGGGAGTGAAGATGTGAATTATGGCCATGTTTGCTAGGTACCCCTGAAACCTGTGGGGCTCCAGGTTCATGTGCCCACACCTGACATCCAACACCCAAGCAAGGGAAAGACCACTCAGCTCCAAAAGTGAGGCTGCACATGGAGAATTGCCCGCGCAACTGTGGTTCCAATATTAACTTATGAGAGTCAAACAAAAGCAGATAGGGAGGACTGGAGAGAGAGCAAGTGGAGTCAGGTTCTCACCCATGTGAAGAAAAGAGCCTTTTACAGAGCTATGGCTCACTGCAGGAACCTCACCACCTGATAACTGCTCAGAGGAGCGGGATAGGAGCCCGCCCAGCACGTTGCCATTCAGCAGAACACATGCTCTGGCCTGCTAGTCCAGCTGCTAACATGCCAGAACCTTCTGAGGTCCTGCTGACATCAGGGGCTGCTGATGTCACTCAGAAGACAGTGGTCTTATCTCTGAAGATTGCATATTAGAGCTGTTGCAGCCATTTGCTAGATGTGCAATTTCATACCACCTAAATTCAAGCTAGCTGGCATGCAGTTTCTTTATGCATAGTGACTGAAGATACCGCCTGGACCCCATTCCTGTTTTTATACCCAGTTCAACTGTGCAGGAAGCAACGAATGAGGCTGTGAAGCTCAGCTGTATTGCCTGAAGGATTTCAGTGGAGCACAACTGAGGTAATACATGTAAACTGTTTTGAAAGGACAACACACCTCCCAAATATAGATCCTGACCCCTTCTTGTTGTAACCACTGAAGTGGGGGAAATCACCACTTGGGAGCCAAATTGTTGCTCTGATGTCTCTGAAGTTGTTGCCGCCATCTTTGCTTCCTCCCACCTTGCTTGCACTCCACTGACAGATTCATTTTCCAGGACACCACTTTGATCATGACATCCACAGCTCTTAAGCCTTGAATGGCTCCCCATTGCCAACTGTATAAAAGGCAAACTCCAAGCCTCAAACCCCCCCTCAGTCAGGCTGAGATCTGCTTCCCTCTACTCTCTGCAGAACTCAAATGCACCAGTAAGTAACACAATGAGGCAGTTGCAGTTAATAGTAATAGGGGATTATTAATAGCAGTATTAGTCATTTTAAGCCTCCAAGTTTACTGTTATTTTATTAAATAGACTAATTAAATCAAACATTAATGGTCCAGGTTTTCAGCTATTTTCTTCTTCCAATGAACGATCAAGAATCACTTGCAGATGGACAGGTTCTTCTGAGCTGTCCTGCATTTTAATATTTCTTCTAGCCACTGTGCAGGCGGAACTGACTACGCTTAATTTATAAAGGAGGATTTATGGGCTTGGGGATGACAACAGACAGCCAATCAATAAGGGATGATAATAACAGCGTGTAATATCAAGGAACATTAGGTCTCGGGCATGATTTGGGGAGAGAAGTGGGCAGTTAGAAACCTTATCATTTGAAAAAGGTCAAGGCCTGGCAGCCATAAAAATGCCTAAGCAAATAAAATCACACCTGTGAATCAGGAGAGGGCATAAATTGCTGAGTGAAAAAGGATTTTAGATTTTGTGGAAAAATTACTTCCCTGGGCAAGGATTTGGGCTGCTGTAGGACAAATGCAGTTGTGTCAAGAGAGGGTCTATTTATTACCGCTCAAACAATAACATGCAATGCAGATGGGGAGAGTGTTTCCCGGCCAGCCGGCAATTCCTGGGGCTGGGACCAGAATCTTTCAGAAACATGGGAGGAGTCAGAGGCTGTAGAGAGGCTTCCAAAGACTGGGCCGAGTTTCAGCACATATATTTAAGAACCATTGGCTTCATGACTTTCTGTCTGGTCATTCCCCCTCTCCAGGGCTGGGGGAATTTTTATTGATTTAGTAAATTGGTTGTGTAACTGAAAAAGGCAAAAAAAAAAAAGCACAAAGTAGCAGATTCTATTACCAATAATCATATTCCATCATGAAAACCAGGATTGGAAATAATCGTTCTCTTTGAAGGACATTCACAGCATTACACAGAGCTTTGTGACCAGCTCAACTGAAAAGATGCCCTGATGGCATTTAGAAAAGTTCCCTTCCACAGACCCTTTCAAGAATAGGTGTGCTAGGAAAGGATGCGAGCAGACACTTCCTGCCCTCGGCACCCAGAAAAAGCAGCTGGAACATTATGCTTCCCTTCCACAGCATCGCTTCAGCTTAGAGGAGGCAGAGAGATGAAATCGCACACATGATGGATTTCTTCTAAACACTCCCTGGAGGAATGCACCCTGTTTTCATTTCTAGCACATTGCAATTTGAACTTCACAAACCTGGCTGCCTGACCAAGCTTCTGCATCCTGGTGGTTCTGGAAAGCAAGCTCACCTCCTTGTAAGGTGTATTCGGTCACTGCTCTGCTGAAGACACCCAGGCCAGCCCCGTTGTAAGCGGCCACCTGGATTTCATACTGTGTCCAGATAATCAGGTCTGTCACCAGGCAGTAGTTCACCTCCGGGCTAGTGATGTTTCTCTGCTGATGCTCACCAGGCAGGCCAGCCAGGCGATACCTGCACCAGAAAGGAAGCCCATGATGGCACAGAAACAATTCAGACTTGAGCTGGTTTTCTGTGGTTCTATGCAAATAAAGAAAAATGGAATTACACAAACCAGAGAGGGGCCAAGAGGTCAGTCCCAGACAACACTGTATCCCAATTCAACAATTTCAAAAGTTTATACTCAAAAGGTAGCTTCCAGGCATTCTAAGGTATATTATAAGTTCTGAGCAAAACAAAAGTGTCATTTCAACTACATTATGGTTATGGGAAAACAACAGTCTTATAAGTGTAACTTGTCCAGGGCTAATGGTGACTTAGAACTCCAAATTCCCCAAGTGATTTCTGTCAGGGTTTGAGAAATACTTTACTCTTGCAACTGAAATGTGGGGAGAAGTGGAGAAGCCAACAGTGTGTGGCCTCTTGGCCTCCAGGGGCTGAGCTCCCAGTTCTGGTCCATTTAGGAAATCTGGGTTTATCTAAGTATACCCCAGAGCAGGAAAAAGTGGGCTTTGAAAAGGCGTTAACACTTCTAAAATGCTAGTTTAGTGCTAACTACCACAAATTGTTTTGGGGGCTTTTGGAACACTTGGGTGGTATGATCTTTAGTTTACTAAAGGCAAAAATTCACAGTTATGTTTATTTAAAAGGTGACTCGCACACCTCTGCACTTAGAAAATGCATAAATTAGGAAACTGCATTTTGCACTATGAAAGGACTTTCAGAGCATTATTTTGATTAGCAAATGTTTTTCCATGATTCAGTTTATAGAAGTTAATGTACTGAACTGACTTAGTTAATTTGCCGAGCTTTTCTGGATCAGTCTCCCTGGTAAATGAGGGAACATGTATAGTAAAAGTGATTTCCTAATCATCTGCAGCTTCCAAAGCATCTAATTTCTATCCCAGAAGTGGTTCTTGCCTCAGAAAACCATGGCTTTGTGTGATAAATGGAAAGGGGAGATGATTGATAAGGGATCCAAAACCAGAGTGGCAGCAATGAATCCGCTGACTCTCCACAGCACACGGGAACCTCTGGGCTCCTCCCCATGCTGCCTTGTCCTTAGGGCAGAGCGCCTCACATGAAAGGAAGCACCTGAGATAGGTGCACACAGACCAGGGCATTAGCAAGGCCACCATTGTTAGAAAAAAAGCAGAGACTGCAGGATTTAGGCTCTTCAGGAAAAAACAATGTTCCAAAGAGAAGGAGAGCTGAGAAGTCAATAGGGAAGTAGAAGATGGTAATCAAAGTTTCTTCATGAAAATCAGAGTTTTCTGAGATTCTTTCATCCTCTCCTGTTATAGACCACTCGCTCTTGGTGAAGCCAGTTTGGAAGAAAAGGTAAATGGTCAAGGGCAGCACATGAATGCTGGAAGGAGCATGGCTTCCTTCTGTCTCATGCTTGAAAGCAGGTGGCCCCAGGCTCTGGGAGGCACCAGGGAAGGGAGCTGTTAATTCTCTGGTGGGCAAACATGGAAGTTATCAAGCCACACCTCTGCCTCACACCCCATCAGCCTCTGACACTTGCTGAAGTGGCATCCTTAACTGACCACCTGCACCAACCAAGGGCAGGTGCAATTCATTACAGGTACTCAGGTCGTTGAGGTAATAATGGCCCTCAAGGCAGTAGGCCACCAGGAGAAAGGCCTGGCATGGATTGACCCATGTGACAGATATTTCCATTTAAATTCTCTGCCCACAAAAGATGAACTTTTAAAATAAATGGTACTGAGACAATTAGCCATTTGAAAAAGGGTAAAAATTGGCTCCACTTCCATATCACACATGGGAATGGCCCAGGCATGTGAATGGTACTTGCAGCCAGTGTGATGTGGTGAGCTTACCCCTCAGGAATGACTTGCTCATGTGGACCCATCACCACATGCTGCACACGCCAGGCAAAAGCAAAGAAATCAGCATCAGAAGACACAAGTGAGGACCTGTTCAGCCATGATGTGCCCGGTGACCTTAGGTATCTTCCTGTAGCCTTTTTTCCACCACTCTCCGATGGGAATTTTTAATAAAAGCATTTCGTAGGTTCTTGCAAGAATCGAGTGGAATGATGAATGTGAAGGAGATGTGAAGTATAAAGCACCCCAATTTTGTTTTAAACATTGCTCTTCTACTGAGGAGAGTGTGGGAGATAACTCTGAATTATGAACCACCCGTATTCTCCTAAGCCACTCACTCAGTACAGTTGTGCAAAAGGAATTGCAGAATTCACTTCTTCCAAACCGGCTATGCTCCCTACTGGAATGGGCAGGTTGGTCCACTCTGACTGGCAGCTGAGGGTGCTTTTGTAACATTCACAGGATGTCTAAGAAGGTCGCGATTAATAAGGGGAATGCAGGCATCCTACTCTTGCTGGTTGGCCATGTTGCCCAGGAGACACGCTGAGCCAGAACAAGATGATTTTTTATACAGAAATAAACAGAGAACATTTTTAAAGGACATAACCCTATGCTCCTCTCAGAGAAACACCCTGCCCATTATTATAAATATTTTATTACTGCACACGCATCCTAACTACTTCTTATGGCCAGAGCCACGGAGGTGATTTATTTCCATTTGCTCTTCCCTGTATTGTGCCTCAAATCTGACACAGAGACTATGCCCTGGAGGATACACGCTTGCAAACACAGAGCTGATTTGCAGACCAGAGGATTATTTGGAAATGTTTCCAAGCAAATTCATTTTGGCATGGGTCTTTAATTTCTGAAAACTTTGATATTCATAGGCCTTGGGTAGTGCGCCCTCATTTTAAGGCTTTCTTGATTTAAGCCCCAACAAATACAGATGCCCTCTTCTCCAGCACTCAACTTACTGACACCATCACAGAAAATCCTTTTAACAGCAGTAATCCCACGAAATAGAGAAATGTGCAGTCCCTGATGTGGCCTTGCAACATCAGAGAGATGTTATTAGGAAAGTCTGCGCCCCGAGCCTGGTTCTGTGAGATGACTATTGAAGCCTTTACTTGACGGCTACTGCCCGAGGAAACTTTTCCTCACTCCCTGCTGAAAATGGCAGGGGCTGCAGGAGGACAAGCGGGAGGGGTGGCCGGGCCGGGCAGGCCAATTATTTCCATTCGTGGAACAAGAGGCTATGGCCAACGCTGGAGCAAGCAGCAGGAGGGGACAGATGGCCTCAGCCTGGAAGCAGCAAGGCTGTGGGAGGAGGTCAAGTGAATAGGATGGGTCCCAGGGGCATCAGGACAGAGCCCACAGGCCTCGCCTACCAGGACAACTCTCAGTCTCCTTGACCTTCTTTACATGGGGAAGGACAGGCGGGGGCACAGAGACACAGGAGCCTTCCTGCTCCCCAGAATGGGCCATTTAAACCCTTCAGGAGACAAGGAGAACCCACAGGCTTGAGTGGCAGGAAATTGGTTGTGACAGACAGATATTACCCATGTGGAGACAGATGCTGTTACCCAAGGAGTGCATGATTCTGGACATGCATATAGGAATGGGGGGTCCTTTAGATACACAGACAATGCAGTTAAAGAGCAATGCCATCATAATTTCTTACATTTACGTAAGAAGTCAAATGTGTTCAGTTAAGAGCTTTGTTAACCAAGCATTTACTGATCGTAACTCCACAGGAGCCCAGTGTAGGCATCTGGAGGAAGGGAATAACGGATCCCCATCGTTCTTGCCCATATAAAGCCAATAATACATCCAGAGCAGACAGCCGACTAGAGATTCAATAGTTACCCTTAGGCTCTGCTTTATCTCTTCTTCTTGCTAGGTTGACAAACCACTGCAGTAGACACACTTGGTGCAGCTTTTAAAGTAGTGGGAGTTTGGCAGAGGACATTTCTCCTCCTGACCACAACCACATACACATATGGTTCTTTCAATATTTTTAGAAGCCTCACTGGCTCTTCTAAGGCAGAGATAGAAAACTGGCACCCTTTGGTTACATCTGGCCCGCGGATGTGGACATCTGGCCTGCTCTACTGAACTCCTGAACCGGGAGGTTGTATGTAACTCCTGAACACTGGGAGGTTGTATGTAAAAGGCCAGGTATTGGAATTTTCTTGAACTCCTAGAAAATCTGGCAAAACTGAGCAACATGCTCATGTGGTAACCATTGGATAATAACTAAATCACATTAATTAGTATTAATTTAAGTGATTATGCTTAACAATACATGGATCTAGTGAAAGTGTTAAAGGAATTAAAAGGTTTACAATGAATAGCAACATTGCTCCCTTACCCAAGATGTCCCCTCCAATCTCCTGCCAAATGCAACCACCAATGCCAGTCTTTGTGCAGACTCTGCAGGTGGACACACGTGGGAGTTCTCTGCAAGGTGCCCACATTAGCATGTGCTCTCCAGTTTGCCACAGTCTCCACCACTCCATAGCATCTGACACCTGACCTGAGAGCCTGCACTACTGATTGTCTCCTACAGACATTTAGAGGAATAGACACCTGACTCTTGCTAGGGACCATATAGAAATCACTGGCTACTTGCCTGAGGATGTACCCGCGTAGCACCCCATTATGCTCAGTTTCTGGGGGTGGCTGCCACTGCACCATGATGGACTGGTTGGTTCGCCCACTGGCCACAATGTTTTTTGGGGGAGCACTGGGTGGTTCTTCAGGTAACATCAGCCTAAAAATAAAGGATGGGTAGAAGAGAGGGAGATGAGTGCCAGAAACATATGACCCTTGTCAGCCAAACTTGGAGCCTTCCTCTTGGTAAAAATCAATAAATGCATGTATGGGAACATCACAGAAAGCCCACTAATCTGTTCAATTAATATGACTTAATATTTATAAATAAATAAATTTCGTAAAAATCTTTGGTTGACAGAAGCTAATTGCAAAAAGTCAAAAGACAAATGGAAAATTGAGGGCAAATTGTTCACAACTCATTTCACAGCCAAGGTTTAGTGTCCCTGGTATTTTAAGAGCTCTTACAGTTCAATAAGAACAAGACCAATCATCCAGAAGAAAACTGGGCAAAGAATGTAAAGAGTTCACAGCAAAAAGAAGTATAAGTAGCTCTTAAACACATGACTAGTCAACTTCACTCTTACTAAGATAAACACAAGTTCAAACTAAAATGAGATACCATTTTTACTAGTAGATTAGGAAAAAACATAAATGTAAAAATATACTGTGTGTCAAGGAAGAGGGATGGGCTCTGTTGCACACTGCTGTTGCAGGTGTCATTTGGTGCCTCTTAGAGCTGGGCAATTTAACCATCGACACTAGTTATTTTTGTAATACTGTGTGCTGTACCACCAAACTGGTGGCAACCTAAACATCCATCAGTTGGGGATTTGTTAGATAGAGTATGGTACAGTGTTACAACAGGATACTATGTCGCTGTGAAAAAAAAATGAGGGTACTTCTTATGAACTGATATTGAAAGATTTCCAAAGATGGATTATGAAGTGAAAAAGGTTTCAGAATAATATGTATGGCATGCTCTGATTTGTGTAGAAAGGAAGAGACTGAATTGTAAATTCGTATTTACTAGTAAAGTGTATACATATTTAAATATCTGGAAAAATGTATGGGAAATATTTACATGGTTACTGGTTTAGAAAGGTGAAGTGGAACACAAGGGCAGGGGTGGAAAACAGACATTTGCATAAATATTTACTTAATTCTGAATCATATAAATATGTCATCTAACTTAAAAATTAAATTATTTTTTAAAAAGAACAAAACACACAGCAATTGTGCTGAAGGACTTTGTGAGCAGTCATGACCCTAAGCACTCTGCAGCTCAACTAGGCAGGCGGCCAGGAAGACCCACCTGCTCCGTCAAGAGCTGCAGAGCCTCAGCTCCCCAAACCACCACCAGCTGAGTGAGCCACTCACACTCAGCGTCCAACACTTTTTCTGGATTGTCTCTTTGGCTTTATTTTTATTTCTCCTCTAAAACTCCCACATTTTGAAAGCCATCTCAATCTCACTATTCTACAATCCAGGTCATAGAACTGGGGTTGGTTTGGGGACAGGGGAGAACCCTAAAATTGGATGTAGTCATTTGTCCCCTTACAATTGCAGGGCTTCCAAAATGGACCTCCTGGAATGTGTGGGTGAGGACACTGCTCAGGAGAACAGCACTTGAGAGACACTGGCAGCATTCAGCTTCCTGCATGACTACTACATATTTACCTCTCAAGCCCATGGCACAGCCTACACTCTGCTGGCAATTGTGGGGAGAAAGAACTCTGAAAGCCAGGCATGGGGGTGTTTGCCTGGAATCCCAGTGGCTTGGGAGGCTGAGGCAGGAGGATCCCAAGTTCAAAGCCAGCCTCAGCAACTTAGTGAGGCCCTAAGCAACTCAGGGAGACCCTGTCTCTATATTTATAGAAAAGGGCTGGAATGTGGTTCAGTGGGTAAGTGCTCCTGGGCTCAATACCTGGTACCAAGGGAAAAAAAGAAAAATAAAAATGAAAGGGCCCAGAAAACACAGCCAGCAGGTGAGCTCTTAATCTCCTGGGTACAGAAGACTGTGCCATCAGGAGCCATCGATGCAGGCACACCCAGAGCACCACAGGAGAAATCCAAGACACTGCCTCCCAGCAATTAAGAGAAACCCAGCTAGATCAACACATGGCCATGTTTGCACCCTTTGTGATAATCTTTTCTGCTCATGCTTTTGCCAATATCCCTGAGGGATGATCAATTAATTGCCTCCACCTCCTGTGATGCCTCTGTTTGACTCTCAGGCCCTGCTGTTCCTGGCCACTGTGCAGAGAGCAGGGCCCCACTCACCTGCTCGTCTCTGTGCTGTACTGGCCCTTGCCCACTTGATTCACTGCACACACCCTGAACTGATAGGTGCGGGCTGGAGTCAAGCCACCCACGGTGATTCCTGTCATCTCAGGGCCAACGTTTGACAGATGCACTTTCCATGGAGAGTCTAAAAGAATGAGCAAAACAGATTCACACCCACGTGAGTACATGTCTGAATGACAAGCGAATGCAAATATGTTCTCACAAATTATCTCATTTGCTTTCCAAGACAGCACTAGGAGAGGAGGGCTGTTATCCCCATTCGACAGACATGGAAACCAAGGCTCAGTCATGCAGCTAGCAACTAGTGAGCCTGGCATGAAACTCAGATTTCTCAGCCCAGATCTAGTGTGCTTCCCATTACTCTGGGCTGTTGTCAAAAAGTAAAGGCATCCTTTGTTCAACCTGCACATGGTGGTTTAGAAGAAACCAAAATATTCCTGGGTTCAAGATGTAATGAGAAAAAGTTCTCTGTGGGCTCACATGGTTAGACAGAGTGCAGATTTATCTCCCAGAAAAGGAAGCTGCACTTGTCACTGAATGATAAATAAAAACTATATTCATTAACATTTTAATAAAAGAGGAAATGAGCATGATAAAGACAGATGGGCTGTGCGTTTTGCAACCCATCTGCAGCATGGCAGCCCATTACGCCACACCCTGAGTGGCTCTGGCTGGAGAGACATCAGAATTCAGAGCTAGTCTGGAGCCTCTTTCCAATCAGCTTTCCGGCAGGTGTGGAAGAGCGACTGTCAGCCAAATGGGCTTCCGCCTGCAAGAAGGTTCTGCAGGATCCCATGCCTGCATGAGTTTTTGCAGAGTTTAAGCATGCTTCTTGCTCGATCGTTTTGTAGAGTGATGCCCTGGAATGACCTGACAATGACTTTGAATATCCACCATCAGCTCCCATTCTGAGCCACTGTGATGCCTGGATGGCATTTTCAAGTTATCAGCAAGGTAAAATATGAGCTGGGACATTCCTCTGGAAATTAAACTGTCTTTCTCCTTCTTCCAAAGTGGTGCTAAGTTCCCTTTCATCCACATTGGTCAAAAAGACACGACTCCACTATGGTGCTGCGCTCTGCTCAGATTGCAGACAACACTTGCTGTGTGTAAACTCCAACCCCCCCCCCCCCCCCCCCCAAAAAAAAATCACATTGGCTCCTTCAGAAACCTCAAGACTGACCGTGCAGATTCACAGTGTATGCGTGGAGCTCATGGGAAGGAGACCTGGCATTTTAGTTCCTCAGAGGTCACCAAGAGGTGGCCACAAATTGCTCAAAATGAAAATGAAAGTCCCAAAGGCCACGTGAAAGTGTCTCACTAATTCAGAACCTGTAGCTCGGATTCCTCAGCACCAAGTTAAGCTGCTCTGAGGTGCAATGCCAGTTGGACGACAAAGATTGAATCTTTTTAATTATTTCAAATAAAGCTTCTTCCAAAAATGGCTTTCTGGGAATGCAGTCTCCACCACCAGCTGGGCAATTCTGTACTCTTGGCTCTTGATTTCCAGTGACACGGTAATTGGCGGTTGATGAGGATCCCCTTCTCTTTATGTTTCCTTTAAAAACCTGATGTGTGCACCCACATTAACTATGGAAAAGCCCACTCCACTGCTCTTTTTGCTCAGGGAGTCTGAGAGCCTCTGTCAGCATCAAATACTTCATGGTGATCTGGCTTCTAGATGGCTTCCCTAAAAAAGGCAGCCACTTGTCAAGGCGAGAGGTGAGAGGGCCTTCCCTGAAACCCGTGCAGCTGGCAGGGGTGGGGCCTCCACGGAAGGAGTTTTCGTTCTAAAGAACTGGCACATGTGGGAAAAGCATGGAGACCATGGTTAGCCAGAGCTCTTCACTTAGACTTTGATTTCATGTGAACTTCTGTAGAAATGGGGGACAAATCAAAACTGCAACGACCTACCACACCATGCCCTCCAGGATGGTTATTATCAAACAGATATACAAACAGAAAATAACAGCATCAGTGAGAACTTGTACACTGTTGGTGGGAATGTAAAATAGTATGGTGATTCCTTGAAAAAATTAGAAATAGCATTCCCATCTTACCCAGTGGTCCCGCTTCTGAGTATATACCTCAAAGAACTGCAACAGGGTATTAAAGAGGTATTTGGAACCCATGTTCACAGTAGCACAAGAGGTGGAAATCACCCAACTATCCATCAAGGGATGAATGGATAAACACGGAAAGTGGTCTAACCTACAGTGGAATATTACTCAGCTTTAAAAAAGAAGGGAATTCTGACACATGCTACAACATAGATGGACCCTAAGGACATTATGCTGGGTCAAATAAGTCATAAAAAGAGGAATACAGTGTGATTCCACGGATATGAGGTACCTACAGTACTCAATCCATAGAGACAGACAGTAGAAGGGGTTGTGGGAGGGAGAATAGGGAATTATTGTTTATGGGTGCAGAGTTTCACTTCTGCAACATGAAAAGAGTTCTGGAAATGGCTGTTGGTGATGAGCACACAATATTGTGAATGTACTGAATACTACTGAACTGTATTCTTAAAAAATGGTTGTGGATATTCTGTTATGGGTACTTTACCACAAATAAAATCAAAAACAGGTGAGAAAATAAAGTAACATGAAATCCCAAGGTCTTCTGAGTATGAAATGAGACAGTGAACACTGGGACACCATGCAGGAGGCCTGGCCTAGGGACACTTGTGCAGGACTGTGTCTGCTCCTGCCTCTTGTCTCCCCTGGGAGATCAAGAGAGCATAGTCAGGTCATTTCCTTCCTCACTGAGAGGGTGGCCTTCACTGTCCCTGTCCTTCCCAGGTGCCTGCTCTTCTCAAGGGGGCAGGTCTGCACAGCCTCTCTCTGAGTTCTGCAAGCCCCTGGTCTCTGACCCAAGAGGAGCCGACTGAGGCCACCAGCCCTGGGTCTCCCTCTGCTCACATCTCTGTAGACATTCTCTAGACCTCCTCCTGGACTGGTCCTATTGGGAGTGCTGTCTGCTTCCTGCAGGAGGCTCTCTTCCACCAGCCCTTCCTTCCTTCTGATCTCGCGGTGTCTGTCAGTGGACGGCTCACCTGCTCAGTCAGACACAGGGAGCAACAGCTGTTTCACAGAGGGACACAGGCAAGGACACCTGTGGTAATCAGTTGGCTGAAGTGACTCTTCAGAACAAGGTGGGGTGGGGGCGGAGAGGACCTGGGGATGCTGCCTGTCCTGGTCTGTATCAGGTCGTGCCCAACAAAAATCACCGAGGCTGGTCCCTGGAGTGGCCGAGTGGGAGGCAGTGCCTTGAGGGGAGTGGGGTTGTCAGAGGGATTAATTCTCTTACAGGAGTGAGTTCTCAGTCTTGCAGGATTGAACTGGTTACCTCAAGTGTAGGTCATTACAGAGTGAGTTGGCACCTCACCTTGGTCTCTCTGCATGGACCGGCTTTCCATTTTATTATTTTTTAAAATTTTTTATTTGTAGATGGACACAATATCTTTATTTTTATGTGGTGCTGGGGACCGAACCCAGGGCCTCATGCACGCAAGGCAAGTGCTACGCCACTGAGCTACAACCCCAGCCCATGGCTTTGCATTTTAATTCTCTGTCATGTTGTGACATGACAGCTGGGGGCCCTCCTCAGAGGTTGGCACTACACAGTTTGGACTTTCCAGATACCACAATCATAAACCAAACAAACCTCTTTTGTTTATACATTACCAGCCTCAGGTATTCTGCTATAGCAACACACAACTACACTAAGATGCCCTCAGTGTCATCCTTCCAAGCCTCTGCCCTGTTCAACCCTTGGCCATTTCTTCACCTAGAGTGTAAACAGCTCTTGAAAGTCCATAACATGAGTCACAGGGTCTGCTGCCCAGTTTGATTTGACAACAGGGCCTATTAATCTCCTCTGTCTCTGGCTCGGCTCAGTCCTCCAGTTACATCTATAGAATTCTTTATTTATTCTTTTTCCTCCCCACTAGAAGATAAAAGATCTGGCAGGAAGAGAGATTAGACTGAAAACTAATACAAATGAACCCTATCCATCTCATGGGCGTTCTGATTTGTAACAAAAAAAAAAAAAAAGTGGTTTGGGAAGGATTTGTCTGTTCACAAGCTTTGCAATTGCAAGCTTGCTGAGAACTGTTAAAATTTAAATAGCAAGTCTGTTCCCGACAATCAACAGGAAGACTCCTTTTAAAAGGCTCTTCCAGCCAGTTCTCACAGAGACTCCAACACAAGGCTTGTCTTAGGGGATGGAATGCAGCAGCAGAATCTTTTGATGAGTGAACCATCCCATAAAAGTTGCAATGCCTCTTTCCTCCCCTTCAGGGATTCCTCTCTGATCCACAGGGCTGGGGGATTTCAGACTCCCCCAGTCAGGCTGCAGAACAAGCCTCTGCCACAGAGAGCACTGTGCATATCCCTCTTGGGTGCAGGGTTCAGGGCCCACAAGGACTTAATCACTCCCTGCTATCTCTGCTGGCTCAAAAACTGATGGTTTTCAATCTTTGGAAATGTACTAGAAGCTTTTTCCGATACAAAGAACATTACCATTTCCTCAATTAATGGTACCTCAGGAAGGAAAATGTTTTTTGAAGAAAATTTTCTCTTAATTGCCAAAAGGCAATTAAATCCCTGTCACTATTAGTGTGGATATTTGCATGGCTATGTTCAGTCTGAGGGTGTCTCCCCACCTGCAGCCCCTGGACCCTATTTTGGGGGAGATTTCATTGCGTCTTTTGTAATCAAGAAAACCAAGACTTGGGCTGGGGATGTGGCTCAAGTGGTAGCGCGCTCGCCTGGCATGCGTGCGGCCCGGGTTCAATCCTCAGCACCACATACAAACAAAGATGTTGTGTCCAACGAAAACTAAAAAATAAATAACCCTAATAGTGCGAGAAGTAGAGCAGCTGGGCCTCATGTCCCTGCAATGGAAGGCCACAGCTGCACCTGAAGCACTCACATATGTGTATCACACAGTAACATACTTTATAAAAAACAAAGCCAGCAACACCTGAGGCACACAGAAGCACACACGTGCTAACACACTATACAAGAAAACAAACAAAACCAAGAATGTGAATCAAATCTGTCTCCAGGAAATAAAGAAGATGCAAGGATCAATTCAACTATGACCCAAATCCAGGAT